ACTGGCATGCCTCATGTAACAAACTGTTATTTGAGAATAAATTATTATTATTATTATTATTATTATTATTAAAATCCATGCACGTAAGGAAAAGTATAAAAGTTCTATAATACCTTACCTAGCAAATATACTATGTGACGAACAGGTTGTTAGAAATAACCTAGTTAATAATTTACATTCTTAACATGTCTTTAATTTTAAAAAGTTTGCACAGTTTTTTTTGGTCTTTTTTTAAAATTTATTTTAAAAAAAAACTTCTTTTTTTTTAAAAAAAAATTTCTTTTTGTATTTTCTACTGCCTATTTGTTCGTTTTTTTTTCAGTAAGTAACTTGTTGAAATACCCTGTGCTGAGAATTCTATATTGTACCAAAATATAATATTGAATAAAGCCATTAATAATAATAATAATAATATATCTGAACGAATGAACTGATATTCACTTTTATTGATTATATTTATTTACCATGGATACTGTGAAAAAATAAGTGTGATTTGTAGATTATATCTGTAAAAATGGCGTGCACCTGCTCTTGCAGAAATATATTATATCCTAAGTGGGTGTCTAACCCATATTACAGAAGTTTGCTTATCTGATTTTCTTGTAACATGGAACTAGTAGAGACAGTGTATTCCAACAAGAAGCTTAAATTAGAGTAATATTCATACACATCATAAACATAAGAAGGCCAAACACCATAAAATGAAGGAGGCCGGCGTTAATGACCAGCAAACATGATGGTGGGGAAGTAACTTCAATTCGCCTATATCTGTAGGGCAGAACATTTGGTAAAATTTTGGCTTCCTCCTCAAATCGTGTCGGTGACGTTGAATTAATTTCACTTCCTACTAAGTAATCCTATTAAAAGCAAAACTAGACAATTTGATAAAAACGACGCCTGCTTATGACCGTATAAATCAATGAAAAAATGGGCTGAAATAGCTTTGACAAAAAGTTCGATAGCCATTTTTGTATCAGAATACTCCTTTAAGTACTATATATTGAAACTACACAAAATCCAATACTTTTGGATTTCTTTAGAACCATCTTCATTTATAAAGTTCTTGACACATTCATACTATATTTACGCTAACTCCCCGCGGAGAACCTCTCGAGCAACTGCCGACTTCAAGGCCTGGTAAAAAGGGAGGGGGTTGGCACAAAAATAGCGACCTCACCCCTTAGAACACTGACTCGATATAAAAAGCTAACCAAAAAATATTCGAACCACTTAAGCTCTGCCCTGGGAGTTAGAAGGTCTTCATTTGTGACGTCTCATGATGAAAGATAAGTTCCTTCGGTAGTCACGAGACTGATGCCCCTTCTGACAACTAGAGCAACCATTTATTTAGGTGCATAGAATACTCTAACAGTGTGGGAGACCGGAAGAGCCTTCCGAATTGCTGAAGAAATGAAGAGATACAACCTGGAAGTGTTTGGGATCAGTGAAACATATTGGATACAGGTTGGACAACGGCGGCTAGCTTCAGGGTAGCTTCTGTTATACTCTGGACATGAAGAAGAAAATGCTCCACATACACAAGGATTTGCATTGATGCTGTCCAAACAAGCACAAAAGGCACTTATAGGATGGGAATTTCATGGACCAAGAATCATCAAAGCCTCCTTCAAAACAAAGAAAGAAGGCATTTCAATGAACATCATTCAATGCTATGCACCTACCAACGATTACAATGAAGACGCTAAAGGTCAATTCGACAATAGGCTGCAGTCAATCATCGAGAAGTGCCCAACAAAGGACCTGACCATTCTGATGGGAGATTTCAACGCCAAGGTTGGAACGGACAACACTGGATATGAATACATCATGGGACGACACGGACTGGGAGAAAGAAACGAAAATGGTGAAAGATTTGCAAACCTATGTGCCTTCAATAAACTGGTCATAGGCGGCACCATATTCCCACACAAATGCATTCACAAAACCACATGGACTTCACCGGATCACACCACGCAAAACCAAATCGACCATATTTGCATCAACAAAACGTTCAGGAGGACTATAGAGGACGTGGATTCAAGAGAGGAGCTGATATAGCATCAGATCATCACTTGCTGATCGCCAAAATGAAATTGAAACTCAAGATGCACTGGACAACGGGGCGGACAATATCACAAATGTTCAACACGGCCTTTCTTCAGGATACTAACAAACTCAACAAATTCAATATAGTCCTCAGCAACAAGTTCCAAGTCTTTCATGATCTACCCAATGAAGAAGGAACTACTATGGAGGGCAACTTAAACGGGATCAAAGAGGTAATCACTTCAACATGTCATGAGATTCTGGGCCACAAGAAGCACCATCACAAGGAATGTATCACTGTTGATAGACTGGATAAGATTCAAGAAAGGAGGAACAAGAAAGCAGCAATCAAAACCAGCCGAACAAGAGAAGAAAAATTCAAGGCACAAGCTGAATACACAGAAGCAAACAAGGAAGTGGATAGGAGCGTCAGAACTAACAGACGTAAATATGTGGAAGATTTAGCAATGATGGCGGAAAATGCTGCAAATTAAGGAAACATGTGAGAACTTTATGACACGAAAAAGAAACTCTCTGGAAATCACAGTAAACCAGAACGACCAATGAAAAGCAAGGAAGGCAAGGTAATCACCAACATTGAAGAACAACAAAACAGGTGGGTAGAACACTTCAAAGGACTCTTGAATCGACCAGCCCTATTAAACCCATCCAACATCGGAGCAGCATTCACGGACCCCTCAATAGATGTTGGCTTGTAGTGGCATTGGGCCAGAACCACACAATCCAGGCGGGAGAGTAGTGTAGGCGCATTCGTCCCTAACATGAGACAATTAGGGAAAATCGATATTCAATATTTAACGCGGAGAAAAACCCAACGATGGGGGAAGGCGGGAACAATGAATCGAATTAATTTGAGTTGATTGGCTGGCATGGCTTGGCCTTGCAGCAGTGGTCCCTGTTGAATGTTACCTTATATCTTTATTCATATTAAATATATCATTCTATCTCTAGCCTGAGCTTGTTCTCCATCATGCATTGGTGATTGTACGATACGGTGAGTCGGTGTAGACAATGATGTGACTTCCACGTCAGATCTTACAGACTAGAAAGTTATATCATGACAAGTCTACTACTTTAGGATTAGGTCTATTGTTAGTACAAATATTGTAATGGGCCATAATTTTACAGGCCCATCAACAATTGAAGATATTAGCATGGCCATCAGACAAATGAAGAGCAGCACAGCAGCAGGACCAGACAACCTAACAGCAGAGCCACTGAAATCAGATGTAGCAGTAACTGCAAGGATACTCCTCATTCTCCTTATCAAAATTTGGGATGAAGAACAAGTTCCTACAGACTGAAAAAAGGACTTCTGTTCGAAATGACAAAGAAAGACGATCTCGGCAAGTGTGATAACTACAAGAGCATGACTTTTCACTCTATATTAGGAAACGTTTTCACACACGGTATTGGTAAACAGTATGAAGGATACCGTAGACGCTCAACTCCGAAATTTACAGGCTGCATTCCGTAAGGATAGATCGGAACACTACGGATCATTCACTTGGTATTGTCTTGCTTGTGAGTGAACATCAACTCTGGGATGCAGGTACATCCAGCTGACTAGTCCTAAATATGACGCAACGCGCTTCCTGGATTCTGCTGCTAACCACAATCAATCTTTGCTTATACAAACTACGGATCATTGAGTAACAATCAACTGAATGGAAATCATCACTCTACATCAACTTCGTTGACTACGGAAAAGCACTTGATAGTGTGGACAGGACACCACTATAGAGGCTTCTTCGACACTACGAAGTGCCTCAGAAGATAGTCAATATCATAAAGAATTCCTATGATGGATTAAACTGCGAAATCGTGCATAGTAGATAGATGACAGACTCGTTCGATCAAAAGACCGGTGTCGGGCAAGGTCGCGTATTCTCACCCTTTCTCTTTTTTCTGGTGATCGACTGGACCATGAAGATGTCAACACTTGAGGGAAAGCATGGGATACAGTGGACAGCTAGGATGTAGTTGGACGATCTAGACTTCGCAGATGATCTGTTTCTCCTATTACACACGCAACAACAAATGCCGGGGAAGACGACCAGTGACTCAGCAGCCTCAGCAGCAGTAGGTCTCAACATGCACAAAGGGAAAAGCGAAATTCTCCGACACAACACAAAATGTACCAATCGAACCACAATTGATTTGGAAGATGTAAAAACCTTTATATACGAACGTGTGACCAAACGCAGTCAGCTAGGATGTGTTCAGTTAAACTAAGAAGGTCAGGATCGATGTCGAAGACTTACAGAACCATTTATTTTGGGGCGATGTTTACCGCCACAAACAGGCATATCTCATTTTTGTCAAGGCGCGTGCAACACGGTTTTCGTTGCCTGTATTTTTCAACTCTTAGCATACAACATCCTTGATGTTTATCACGATTTTATCTGCCTGTGTGAGTTTCATAGACTTGAACTTATACATATGAATCAGGCCTCAGATTATTTGAAGGTGACAACGCCATACTTATGACTGCATACTCACCGTGAGTAAATTTTGATAACCACGCTCTCAAACAGTTTTTTGAATGCATGGTACCAATCTGAAGAAGTACAGAAGAAACCAAGCTGAAAACAAATGTTATGAGACGTCTAATTCTTACAGAAAATACAATCGCATATACCTATCTTGACAGTAGTCACTTTTTCTCTGTAAAAATTGACTCAGTATCACCGCTGTTTGTTCAACGGTACCTAGGAAACTCTTTTATGAAGCCCTCTTCTACAATCAACTCAGTTCGTCTTTTAATAACTTCAAAGAATTACATATTAATTTCGACGTTGTATTATTTATGGAATTCGAATTTCTTATATTTCAGTCTGGGCTTGAATTCTATCTTGCCAAATGATGGTTGCCTAATAAGTCACGCCAACACTGTACAATGTCCTTGACGGCCCTTAAAAGAAAGCCGGTCTGTACGAAAGATCTTTGTGTTAAGGTCAAGCGGAATTATCAAATTAAGCTTCAAGATGGTAAGTTCGTTTTTCCTTATACATATTCGTGCTTATGAAGTAAGTGATCAGATCGCACACCATTTGTAATGATTGATCCTATTTCAAGGTATTTGTTTATTTTGTTTAGTCTAGAATGTTCAGGATATATATTTAAAATTAACTTTCGTACTTGATTATGTAGTGTTTACAGAGACTAAAATTCAAACACATGGATTAATGTCGAAAAATCTGTGTGGTTTCATTTTCCTAATGTTGGCATTGCACACTTTGACTTCGGAAGTAAAATTTTCTTAATACCTCTATTAAATTTAAAGTAGTCAAACTTCGATCTAAGGACATTCAAGTAGGTTATCACACTGCGTTCATTTATGCTATTACAGTTAATATACTATCGAAAGCACATTGTTTGTGTCGTTATGCTATGATAATACACTTAATAATGCTTGTATTCTGTAAGTTTTACATCCCTCATGCGCCATCTACGATTAAATGTTAGTAACCTGCAAATATTCTCCGTTTCTAAGGTCTTATTTTCATTTCAATGAAGTGAAACTGAACTGTTCTTGCCTTAGTTGCCAGACGGATATTTCTACGCCATAGATGATGCAAGTTAATAAAAGCCAAACAAACTTTCTAATTTTGTGCCAGTAGTTTGTCAGCTACTAAACTGTCATGATTTCTGTGACTTTTGAGATTTGTAGAGGAATTGTCTTGCTCAAATTCATGCCATATGATTAGTTTGGATGTTAACGCAAACTAGTTATGAAGTAGCAATTCGTATTTTGAGACAAACCCAATTTCAGACATGCTTGCATTTTTGCTTGAGGCAATAAAAATAGGAATTTTCCAGCGTTTGCAAATATTTGTGAACTGTAGGTCGATGAGAAAGCTTTCAGGAAGGAAGTCAATTCCTGACACGTCGAATGTTTTTTTGGACTCTCAGTATTGGTTGGTGAGACTAACAGGTTTATATTTTTCTCACTTGGGTTTCTAAGAAGCGCTAGTAACAACATAATAAGAAAATTTCCTATGTGTGTTAAAGACAAAAAGTGCTCCCAGTTAGCATTGTTTGCGACTTATTGATACCTTACCATGTTCTTAGACGACTACACGTAGTTCCGGAATAGGAAGTGAGGGATATTTTTCAACATAGTCGCTTAAGTAGATAATGTTTTGTACATTTAAATACAACTACGGATGGTCGAGCAATAATATTTTGGTTTTATGATATATTTCAGACACTAACACAAAACCTATTGGTTGAGAGTCAACTGTTATTATTTATTTATTTATTTGAACACATAAATATTAGTACAAAGGGGCACCAAATACATGTGCGTCACACAATAACTATGAGAATGTAAAGAGATAAAAAATATAAGGTGTGTATAGTAAAAAGTGGGACAATAACGAACAGAAATTAGCGTATGATAGTGAAATAATAATAATGAGAGAAGCAGTTCAATTAGCAAAGGTACAACCAAAAAGAATTCTAGTTAAAGAAGTTACGTACATTTTTCATGAAGAAAGTAAAATAAATGTGCAACAGGATCTCTACTGACTTCTGTTCTGAGCCATATCTGATAACGTCTCTAGCCGTTGTGTTGTACCATCATTAGGACCCGAACCAGAGAGTCGTGAAGGACCAACAAAAGTTAGTCCTGTACATCTTTCTTTCATGCCACGACACCATGTCATGCACTGACCACCTCTCCGATTTTTCCAACCAATCACTAAATAATGCACGACGTGGAATTTTCTGGGACAACATTCGTAAAACATGTCCAACCACTGAAGTCGATGTTTCAAGATAGTGACACCAATTGCATTATTGTCTCTGTGCCCGAACAGGCGATGCCGAACTTTTGCATTACTAACATGATGTTGCCACTGGATATCAGCAATCCTTTCGAGACAACAATGATCAAACACAGAAAGTCGTCTAAGATCCTCATAAAAAACTGCTCTCACCGACGCGTTGTAGATCCGACCTTTTACAGCCAGACTAACATCACGAAGGCGCCAAAGATGGCTCAGATTGGCATAAGCCGCTCTGGCTTTCACCATACGTGAATTGATTTCATCACCCACGCTACCACCAGTACTTACGCAATTATCCAGATACACGAACTCCTCGACTACTTCTATCTGCTCACTACCCGAGGTGAGTGCAGGATCAGGTCCTACCGGTCTTGTAAAAGTACTTTGCACTTCAAAGGTGCAAAGCACATACCATACCGACGGACACTAATTACCACCTGATCAAGTGCGTGTTGCATGGCCTGGGTGTTATTGCACAGTAAGACGATATCATCCGCATACTCAAGGTCGTGAATTCTTTCTCCAGCAACAGTTTCACACATCCATTACTTACATCCATCAGAGTTGTTCCCAGAACGTCATCGACAGCAAAGTTGACGAATGGTGAAATTGGGCAACCCTGTCTAATCTCCACTACTTGAATAGAACAATTGACAGAGGTGGTTGTATGCCCTCAGTCTGCTTGAAGTTTTTGTATATATGGCTTCTAAGATGTTAATAAACTTCTCAGGTACATCTTTCTTTGATAGACAGTCTCAGAGAACAGTCCTGCCCAACGAATCGAAAGCGGTCTAAATGCCAAGAGACACTACGATTTTTGGCCGGTGATAAGTATGACAGTGTCCTAACATTTAGCTGAGGGTGAAGATATGACCAATACATCCTCGACCAGAACAAAACTAGCCTACTGCTAGCGAGTCAATCTTTCTCGCGTTTTGAAAAATTTACAAAGTATAACGGAAGCCAATAGTTTGAACGCAATCGGAAGTAGACTTATCCCGACGTGAACCATTTCTAAAGATAGGGACGATTATCGACTCATTCCATGATGTCGAAACACTCTCTATCTCTCAAACCTTTGTAAACAAAATAGTCATTTCCTTAACCAAAAGGCCTCCACTATCTTTAAAAAGAGCTGGAGGTAAGTCATCTGAGCCCGGTGATTTGTAGCGCTTTAATAGCTGGAGTTTCTTGCGGGCTTCCGCCTCATTTGGTGGATCAGTCGTCACCGGCCATGGAGGGCAGGACATTCTGATCGATGTTGCTGAGGCAGCGGACCAGTTGAACTGTTCCTCGAAAAATTCTGTCTATCGTACAAGACGTTGATAAATGTTATTGATTGGCATCCTATCATCTTCACAAATTGTTTTGTTCACACCGAACTTCTTGCTGACAGTGGCTTGGATGAGTTGGAAGAGCTTCCGGTAATTACCAGATACAGCTGCTGCTTCCAGTTCATTAGCACGCTCCGAACACCAGGCTTCTCGATCCTTACGCAAGCTTTGCCCAGTTTCCTTACGTAATGTCCTTCGTTTGTGGTCACCCGGGGTAGACGACGGGCTTCAGTGAGTTGTAAGGAACCTGAAGAAACCCAGTGCTTATAAGTGAGATGTTTAGTAAAGCCGCAAACAGCTTTACTCTCTATTTTCATGGTGTCATGCAATTACAACCAATGCTCATCTATACTTTTCGGTGGAATGGTAGCTAGCCTAGAAGCTAGCTCGGTTTGGTACTTAGTTGCAATAGAGGCTGCGACCAACTTGCTGACATCAATCCTTTGTTGGCGGTTACTTCGTTGGCCACTGAAAAGTAAGGTAAGATTGGCACAGACCAAGGCATGATCAGAGTCTAGATAGGCACTCCAAAAGGAGCGGTAGTCTTGTACACAACCACGCCAGCGGTAGCTGATCGCGATGTGATAAATCTGAGTCGAGGCTTGAGATGCAGAGGGAAGACGCCAGGCGGCACATCGGCGATGACTGTGCCGAGAGTTAGTGCTGACCAGAAACAGGTTGTGGTCTGTGCACAGTTGCAGTAAACAGTCCCCGTTATCTGACTTGCGACCAACGAGTCCCCATCGGCTACCTAAAGGACTCTCGTCTGTGCCTAGACGCCCGACCTGAGCATTCAAGTCTCCGGCTAGTACTACAATATCTGTCGAACGCACTTTCTGGAGAAGAACAGATAACTGGTGGTAAAACTCATCCTTGATTGCATCCGGGCTGTATAAGTCGAAAAATAAGGATACATAAAGTGGGAATAAAAGAGTGAATAAATGACGTAAAAAATAATAACAACAACATTAATAATAACGTGAATCGCTTGATTGTTAATCGGAGCAAGACAAGTATTTTCCATAAATATCGACATTTCATCATATTTGTGTGTTGGCTGTGATACTGCCCGGGTGCCCAGGCCGAAGCAGGTGGTTATCTTAGGGGGCCACACCCTAAGCTCTTGACTTAAAGGTCTGACCCACAATGCAGTGGAGCGTTGTGAGGAGATGCAGTCCCATGGTAGCCGGTGACCAAGGACTTGGTTTATACGCCATTTGTTCCCTCAGGATACTGGAGTTCATGTGCACCATTGGTCTAGACTCTGGTTGGAGCGTCAGACATTCGCTTTTCGTCCTCTCAATTTCGCAAACAACACCTCTGCCACGAGAAGGCAGTTAGTAGGACTTCCCTGGCAGAGGCTATATACGCGTGGCCGTGTGAGAGCATTTCGAGAGGGACGGCAGGGCTCACCCCACTCTTGGCCATACCAGGGCATTTGGGGGCGTGCGAACGTTAAAGGAAGCCAGTTTGAATGGTATACGTGGTTTCTGAAAGAATGTCTCAGTATTCATATTCAGTAGTAGCATTCAACTTTCGACCAGTCGGTGACTCGAGACCGTTTAGATAGAACTGGATTTCCACCATAGGCGAGCTGCTGTGTAAGTTGAAAGATAAGGATACACAAAGTGGAAATAAAAGAGTAGAAAAGTGACGTATATATAAAAACAATAAAATTTATCAAATGAGTGTCAGTTATCTGAATTTTAATTGAAGTAAAAACAGTATTTCCAGTAGTTATTGTCATTTCAATTTATTTGTGTGTGGGCTGTGTTACTGCCCGGGTGCTCAGACGTCAGAAGATGCAGTCCCGTGGTAACCGGTGACCGAAAATTGGTTCATACGCCATTTGTTCCTTCAGGATACTGGATCCCATGTTTACCATTGGTTTGAAATCATGGTTTTCCAACTTCTCCAGGTGGATCCTCCATACCCACCAACCGGGTTTAAGCGCTGGACATTCGTTTCTTGTTCTTTCAATTTAGTAAACAACAGTAATGCCGCGAGAAGGCAGTGAGTAGGACTTCCCTGGTAGTGGCTGTATAATGTGGCCGTGTGAAGGCATTTCGAGAGGGGGAGAGGACTCCCCCCACTCTCGGCTGTACTAGGGTATTTGGGAGCAGTCGACTGCTGCCCTTAACTGAAGAACATTGATTAAAGCTAAAGCTGAAATCTCTGAATCCATGAGATCACAAAATTCTGATGGATACATTCTTGTAGTGTCCAAAACCTTTACGCATTTTTAGAGTTTGTTGTATTGAAGCTTCATCCAAACGACAAATAATTTTATGTCGTAGGGCTTTAAAAACTAGTAGTTAAGTTTATTCGTTCACAGTTGCTATTCAGTAACCACTGGAGAACGATAATCTGGTTCTCTTATTTGATTTTATTCAATTTTTTTAAGTTGTGGATGGTTCTTTTCTAGCGTACTGGCTACTGGAAAGTTCCATCCTGACATTGACAGAACAGAGTCCTATAACCAAAAAGATTCTTAGTGACTGATATGTCATAACTTCGTTTTCCCACAGAGACTTACTTGCTTACACCTGTTATCCTTCGTAGAGGAGCATAGGCCGTCAACCAGCTTTCTCTATCGTTTCCCGCAGGAAAGATTTCTGTTATTCAAAGTGAAATACCTTACCATTCCTGTGCCTAGTATTTACCCATCATTGCGATTGCCATCAAACGCCGTCACGGGTGAAGAAGTGACTTAATGGATATGGTTCTTGGCTTTCAACCTATTTGTCATAAACTTTGACCCTGCCTCACTCTGTTTGGTTGTCGTAGCCAAATGGTTACACCAGCCCTCACAAAAGTAAAGTGTCTCGAAACTGAGGATATAAACCTGTACCTCGTAAATGAGTCATATTTCATCCAAACTATAATGTAATGTGTTTTTGATCTTACGTTTTAAACTGGCTTTCTTACCATGATAAAGTATTAAAGAACATGTTTCCTAGTTAGTGTAAATCTGCTGGTTCACTGTGGTAGGAAGGCTCAACCAACATGATATCAGCTTGGTAAACAACGGGATACATACTGACTCTTCCCAAAAGTCATTTTTCATAGTTTAAAAGTAATATTGAAATACGTCTGTTCGTTTTCGTTTTAGTGTCTAACTGTAAGCAAAGTACTTAAACACAAACATCACTCTCCTAAGTCCCTTCCATCCATATTTGTTCAGTTTAATAAAGGTGGTCGACAGTTATCATCGGCGGTAATAACAACAAGTAGCGTGTAACTATGATTTTTACTGCCGTTATTTCTATCCAGCTGGTGATTATCAGTTGCCTTTTCTTGGGATTTCATCTGGAGTTTCGTTCGATAAGTAGTTTGGGAACCGCATAGTCATATCTAGTTATATACAGACTTAATACATAAAACAAACCTAAATATATACGGAATATCCATAAATAGACAAACCTGCAATACTGATCTTAAATACTTATTTTACGGGTTGTCAGTATTGAAAACCTAACTGATCAATTAATTAGATTCATTCATGAACTAAGTCGTTTTAGATGTATTATTTTCAAAACGTATTAGTTATTTGATGTATCATTTCACCTAGTTAACCAAATATAATTGAGTATTGGTTATTCACGAAATATTTTTGTTCTGTTTTGTATTTTAGAAAATTGTCTGTAGCATTCTGTTTCTATTTGCTTTGTCAGTGAAAGGTAAGTTACTGAGTGTTTTTCGTGGAAGTTTAGGTTTATTATATTTTTTGGTGATATTATTATTAAGTTTCTGATTCTAAACCATGATGCCAAGCCGCTCCTATTTTCCTCTTATTTCTTAATGTTCCGTTGTTTATGTAACGTTCCATTTTCTTTCTTCAATTTCATGCTTCAGATACTTTATTATACTTATAATTTTTACTGTATGTAGACCTAAAAATATAATCCTGCTCTAACCCTAGGGTAAAGGTAGTTTTATCATCAACTCCCTACAGAGTATCTACCTAATATTCAGATCATTCTTAAGTTCTCTTAATATATTTAATCGACTTTCTATCAGTTTTTAATATATATTCGTTCATCGAATCAGTATATATCAGAGAGATTTATAATTTTATAGTCTGGTGCAAAGTATCTTCTGTTTTATAGGGAAAAATAGAATTTAACTTATTTCTGTCACAGAAATGCGATTCGAACCTTAAAATTTCAACTACTAGTTCGTAGGTGTGAACTGTACCTTATGTAATTTAGTTAAAACACCTGAGTAGTATCAGTAACTCCCATATAAACAGTGTGACTCGATATTGAGCACATAAATTTGTGTCTGGTAAATGTTCAGTCCAGATGGTTGTAAAAATGTGTTTTCATTATTTCGAGGGTGAAACAGATCAACGGTCATACACAAAAAATCAAAAAGATCCATGACATTCTGTATGGAAATTGATAGCTTTTATGTGAGATTTTATCTTCAAGCTTCCAGTTTATTTCCATTTTGTTATTATTATTCGTTTACTAGTGTAAAATCCGTGTTTCGGTTTCTTTTATTTGCAGTACAAATACTTAAGCCGTATTTCCAAACCACTTCTGCTTTTTTAATTTCCTGACTATTAAAAATAATATGTTTTGGGGAAGCATATGGTTATTGGTTAACTACATGAATATAATACAGTGATTATTTTTTAAAAGAGCAACTAAAACAGTAGTGTAGATATGCAGTGGTGAAAGTCTTTAAGCTTCATTATATGCAATACATAGCCACCATGTGAAAAATGTATGATTCAAAATTAATCCTAGGTACTTTATTTCACTCGCCGGTTAATGATGTGGCCACCAAAATCTTCCCGACTTTCACCTATCTCACTGGAAGTAGCTTTCTAGAACAATTAGCTGTTGAATGTAGGTGCTATGGTACAATTATGTCTACTTATATAATTATGTACCTACTTTAGCCATCGAACATATTGTTTATGTTCAACATTCGAATTAGTTTCGGTTAGCCTTTGGTATTTTCTAAAAACAGTAATTTTCAGTTTAAGGTTGTGAACATTGTTGAATTTCATTGAAATCATGAACCGATAAATATGAAATCACCATTGAAACCTGCAAATACTGGACGGTCGTTTCATCCTAGTATGGGACTCCTGAGAAGTGTGCAGTTACTTATCGAAGACAATCGAAAATATTCGCGTGACATCGTTGATTGGTTGAATTTAGAAATGAACATCGTTGGATGCTGGCTCAGTGGTCTAGAGGTTAAGCGTTAGTGCGCGAAACCGATGGTCCTGGCTTTGAATACGGCGTGCGGGATCGTGGATGCGCACTACTGCGAGGACGAAACGACCGTTCAGTGATTCCGAGTTTAAGTGTTGGTCTAGGATTGACATGATTTCAATAAAAGTAACAAATTTGTTTCGGGAGAATAAGGCGTTGATCAAAACGTAGCTTATAGTTCTAGTTTTATAGTGTTTGGAATAGTCATCGTATTTTACTTTAGCTTAGTCCTATAAAACCGAAATTTTAATAGGAGACAGTATTATTCAAAATTTGTATGTCTATGCATCTAAAAAATATAATGTGGGTATATATATATATTTAATATGGCTAAAAAAGTCTACAAAACAGTTATTCTACGTTATAGAGAAAACTAACGAAAATTCATAATATAGAATAATTAACTGAGTGTGTATTCTGGTATTATTGAATATTGATATCCGCCATCTTTTAAACTTCACACTCTGTCAATTATGGATTTTCCAATTTATTGACAATGCTTACTGTGCACTATTATTTGCGTATATTTCATGTTCTGATGCTCTCATTACTTGTATGTTTGTGTATTTCCCTTCTCTCCTGTAATGTCTCACGTCGGAAACACTTGTGATTTACTACTTAATTCCTACCGGATAGCAGAAAGTCAATACTATTATATGTTCTTCATTCTATCGGATAGTTTCTGTGATGATTGTACTACATCTAACCTTATTTGTGTTTCTTATGTGAATTATGTGTGTTAATACTAACACGTATATACATATGTTTAACAGAAAAGAGAAAATGGAAAATTCTTCTTATATGACATGCAATCTTACTATTATACCAGACAAAACATTTTGTAATCGGGTATAATATTTGGCAGTTTGACTTTATAGTCTTGACAATCAGTATCTGTAGGATTTGTTAAATACGTAGACATTCAATGAGTTGTATACAGTATAGTGCCTAAAACAAATATATATTGGTTTAGTAGCAATGTCAGTGGTAGTGGCAAACGAAATACGCCAATTGTAGTTCGAAAGAAACAATTAGCACTTATAGCTTTACTGAATCCTTATTTAGAAGAATCCATGAAAGTTTATATTTCTCTGTTGGGTTGTGAGTAATTAATAGGGATAGATATATTTGATAGTCCCCTTTCACAGAACTTTTGGAATTGTATCGTTGTTTAATTAGTGTCAGAGACCGTATTCTGACTAAAAATTTCTAGGAGATGTATTGCTAACCACTACTGTTGCATGAGCTATGGAAATCACTACTGGTTACTTTGGTGTTTCATATACAAGAACCAGAAAGGTGGTGTTATTGATAATACCGCTAAGGTCTATATATATATATCCCTGTGTTCTGCTTAGTTATTTCTTACAATCATAGAGTGTTATCCAAACAAATCCTGCACAGTACCTTTCAGCTATCAATGTTTACAGTTAAGAAGAGTGGAAGTTTTGATTAAATATGAACAGTCTAAATGAATCGGATAATAGTTATCTTATGTGTTATTGTTAACAATGAGTTATTCTATAAGGGTTTGATTAATCCACTTTGACCAATGCTTATTGACAGAAGTGCATTATGAGCGAATACCTCGATATTTTCATTAGATACAAGAGTTTGGCATATTTTTTTATTTCGCTGCTACTAAATGTAATCCAAAAAGTAGTAATTTCATTGTGAGAAACTGACTTATCAAAATGTTTAGCGAATCGATTTGTGCACCAGAATTCAAAGGTGATCGCATCAATAACTTTTGATTGGTGTTCTGCTAGATTTTATAATACTGTTTAATTATTTATTCAGCAACACTCCTTGTCCTTTCTGTGATCATGAAAATTTAAAACAATAATTTTAGACGTAAATATCAGTCTAAGAAAGATCATTGAAAACTACAAAGTGTAAAATATTTTTAAAGACTCCATGTACTCAAAAAATAGACAAATATTTTGTTTGACAGTGTATTAAAGATGTTCCTAAGAAATTTAAAAATTTATTACAAATATATAGGTCACAGATATGGTAACGTATAGATTAAGTTTTATTACAGGTCTAATTACAAATGACTGGTTATCGTGTAATTTTGAAGCAAATCATTCATGTGAATGGATTGACGATGCAAATAATTGGCTTGCGAATTGGCGCCCAACTTCTTATGCTAGTAAAGGAGATTATTCGGTGAAAGAAAAACACCAATTAGTTCTATGTACTCAATTTAATTCACGTACTAAATCGCGTCTACGTAATCATCATGGTCAATTCCCTGGTTCACAGAAAATTAATTCAGTTGTGCGAATAATTAGTCCACCTATCACTTCATTAGATAGCGTTAAGTGCTTATCGTTCATGTATCGGTTCGAAAATTCACCTCATTTTTCTTCGTCATCTAGTTCTGTATTAAATTTACTCCGTCGTTCAGAGGGGTAAGGTTGTTTGTCAAATCGTATGTTAGTAACATAGTAGTTTCCAATGTGTTTTACTTATCTTTTACCGCAACATGAATATTTTCCGTTGTATGATTGCATCTTATGCAATACAATGATAAAAACCGGATAGAAATGAAGGTTTATACAAAGTATGTTCTATTCAGATTCATAGCTCGTAATAAAATTCGACCAGTTGAACTTGTTCATCAGTGTTCGTTTGAATGCAATCTGTGTGGATGGTCAAATAATCAGAGCAGTTGGGAAGGTTATTGAGATTTGACGAGAGTTGAAATTCTGTTAACCAATGCATCCTGTTTTTGGATAACGCAAAAACCTATTAAGACACAAAATTCCTGGTCCATTAGATGGAAAACATCTCGTTCAGATAAACCAAGTGACTTACGAAACTCCAATGGGCTTATTAATGCCAAATTATGGAGTCCTCTTATTCAAAGTGAAGATCAACTGCATTGTCTTGTGTTTGTGTAAAAAATTTACAAACTACCATCTATTTGTGCAAACAAGGTCAGGTTCTCTTCAAATTCAATAAAAGATGATTTTCTCAGTCTTGTTTCTGATAAGATCTCAGATTAATTTCGTTCGGTAGTTACCTTGGGAACTGAGAATTCCAACCAATATAACGCATCCGTTGTTGCAGCTCTTTAAATTATTCTCTTGGTGTCGTTTTCGTTTGAAATCGTTATTATGTGTATATCATCTAGACACTATTTAGCACTTGGTCAAGATTTTTGGTGCCTTATGTATCCGGCTTTCTTTTCTAGCGATTGATCCAGTTTATTTCTGCCCTTTCACAAAAAATCTGTGCGATTGGACTAACGATCCAAATAGTTGGCAAAACCATTGGTCTGTGATTGAAGAATCAAACTGGCACACTACTGATAATAATGGCGTATCTCCAACTACATCAGAAGAGTCCTATTGCTGTCTTACAAGTGCTGTTTATTCAGGGTCCGATAGTTCAAGCATGGCAGCCAGTCGTTCACCATGGATTATCCAACCTCATCTTTT